TATAATTGTAAGTTATTTAATTAAATAAATATAACGATTTGAGACGGTTAGTTATTTTAAATAAACAAAAGTAAAAGTGTTGTAGAAGAAACTGTTTTGGAAATTTCGCCTTTAAACCATGTCAAAATATTTAAATGAAGATAAGACTTACATTAGTTTATGTTGAAGAATATTCAATTATTCATTGATATAACGAATCCGATAAAAAAAAAGTAAACAATTGTATACTAGATCACGTTTCGCTATATCGATTTCAGTGTAAAAGTTGCGAGTATTCCTCCCTTATATACGTGATTTCATTTTCATTTTTGAGCTAGGCTGTTCATCACACAAAAATCTACAGAACACTTCGTGATACTTGGTTGTTTAAATCCATGTTACATTGGAACGTGTATTTCCGTTGAAAAAAAAACCTAGTGACTCCATTTCAGTAGAAAGCGAAATACTTCTCCCTCTCCTGACATTTAGCTATGTATTTATTTGATCCCTTACACAAACAATAAAAAATTCTTGGATATGGTATTTGACCGAAGACTAACATGGGAAACACATATTTCAAACTTATACTTATACTATCAAAACTGCCGCTACAAAAAAAAACAAAAAAAAAAACAACTAACCATATTAAGAGATATCTAAGTGGTACCTCTTGGGGTTCGGATATGCTCACAACTGGACCATGCTTTTTTATGGATCTGCTCGTTTCCGGATCCTTAACAAACTTGATGCAGTACATCACGCTGGTATTATATTATAGTATTACATTATTATAATATAGGTAATACTGGTATTATATAATAAGATTGCGACCAGGGGTGCTCATTCCCCCAAAGTCGATGGCGCACGAACCTCCCTCCCTTCTCCCGACAGTGCAAGCTAAAGGTACTATTTCCCTATAGAGCGGTTGAGCACTGCTTTTGTGGAATAGAAAGGAACCTACTTCCTTGGCACTGCTCCGCAGTATAGGTATAACATATCTATACTGCTTCTTTTTGGCCACTTCTGAAGCAGTGAAGCTGTTGGCAGTACAGTGGTTATAGATTTTGTTATCTTATCGGAGCATTGTTTTGATGATAACAGTCACCTTGATACGTTTCAATTTCCGTTTTTATTCATCAAGTCTGGCAAAATTAAATGAAATATTTAAAATTTAAACAAAGCTATAGTAAATCATTTCTTAAGGTTTAATTTATTACGAGTGATATTTATTACTAATCAATCCCCATCCCCACATATATTATTACAGTAAGGCTCGAAATCGGTTTTGTACCAAATATAAGCTCCTTTCATGCTCAAATACCATGAATGGGGTTCCGTTTGATTCAGAATTTCATGGGGGTTTAGAGAATCGCACGGGCGAATCTACGGGGGGGGAGGAGGGCTTTCGGGCTGAAGCCCCCCCCCCCCCAAAATGGTAAAATATAACCACGTTTTATCGAAAAAAATATTTAAAAAGTATCTCTTAAAGTATTATTTTTCGTGTGATTAATATTAAAAGGGCTTTAGGAATCACTTAAACACCATTTCATACAGGTTGTTAGTTTCTTTCTTTTTTGCTAAAGCAATTATCGTTATTTTTATGAAAAAAAAGCTTTCGGGCTGAAGCCCCCCCCCAAAATTAAATCCTGGATCCGCTAGTGGAGAATCGTACGAGTTTATATTGTTTATCAGAGTTGTTTTTTTGTCGGTAAGCCGTTACTTCGTTATCGTTACTTCTTCATCAAATCCACAAGATTGAGTCACCAATTTTGAAGGTTTCCTTCTCCTACAGGCGGGAAAAATTGTCCAATCACCAAGAAAATTCAGGAAAAAAAGTTACGGAAGAAAAGAAACTTTATTTGCGAATAACTAAAAAATTAAACACTTTTCTCTTGGTTATGTCCATGATAATATAAAAGTTTACTAAATTCCCTACTAAAGGAAAGAAAAAAATCATTGAAATCGGACAATTATTATCAAAAATATAGCTTATTGAAATTTGTGAACATGTTGGTTCCAAGCATTAAAGAAGTTTTAAATTTATTTTTGTTTGCTTTGTCGATTATATTTAGCGAGAAAGTGACAATTGATTTCTTTTATGATACGTTATATTATTTTATTTTCATATTAATTTATTATTTGATCACTGAACAATATACCATGCGAATTTTCCACGGGTCTACTAGTTATGTAATAATTACTGTTACTTATCAAACCAATAATTAGTAATCAATTTAAAATCGGGCATTAACCCTCAGTTCTTAAAATAATACTTTATCATCTTATCTATACCATGAATGCTTATATTTTGTATTTAAAATATTACAATAGAAACAATCATTTTGAAGAAGGTGGGAATTAACTTAACATGAGGATAATTGTTAACATTTCATAGTACAGACCTAAACTTGTTATTCATCTTTAACTTCCAGAAAAAATGTAATGTATTGATTCAATAAGGTCGAAACTCCGCCATAAATTCTATTGCTATGCTTCCAATAAAAATAAAAAACATTAAATTTAAGGCAAACATTTTTGTTTAAAATAATATCAAACTAAGACGCTAAATTGAGGACATTTGGTCGCGGATGAGAGCAGTTTCAGCGAAATAGACAAGCATTAGTGGTTAGCATTATGCACTAACGGATCCAGGATTTAATTTGGGGGGATGGCTTCAGCCCGAAAGATTTTTTTTTTTGGATGTATATATTGGGATAATTACTTCGGAAGAAAGAAAGAAACTAACTACCTATATGAAATGGTATTTAAGTGATTCTTTAAGCCCTATTAAGTGTAATTTGACGAACAATAATGCTTTTAGAGATACTTTTTTTCATAAAACAAGTTTTTGAAAAGAAAACAAATTCAACCCTCTCTTAATCAGAAAGAATTAACTCAGCTACTGCATCCCTGAAAGAGTTACCTTTAGAAAAAACAAAAAATTACGATCCTATTTGGACACACAAACAACCAAAAACCATATTAAACTTATAAAAATTACCGAAAAACAAAACTAAATTCTCTCCTCTTCTTCATAACATTCCGGAATCATTTTTAATCTATACCGATGGATCGAAATCCGAAGAATCCATGGCATCTTCCTTGATTCCACCAAAAAAAAAAAAACTACATAAATTGTGCAGAATATATACAGCTGAACTTCACGTAGTAGCCTCAACTCTCCATTTCCCCATTTTGAAACCCTAAAACAATAGTAATAATAACAGATCCATTGAATTCTTTAAAAGGTATTAATAATATATATCCGGAACATTCGACTATTTTAAAAATGAATACTCATTTAAACATGCCCGAAAATTTGAGAAAATCTATATATTTCATCTGGGTTCCTCGCCACGTGGGGATATGAATTCGCAGACGCAGGCAGCATCCAAACAAGCACACACCCTTATAAGCCGGGAAGCTGTAATTTTAACACCACATGTCACAAGGCTTCCCCTCAAAAAGGAAATATTTCTTGGCTGGCAATCCATGCCGAACGAGAGTCCACCGAGCAAATTGAAGAAACTTAAACAATCAGAAAACCATGCTCCACCCCCAACCGTCCTAGTAGAGAGGAAGTTGCCTTACCTAGACTAAGGATAGGACATACCAACCTAACAATTTGAAACTTTTTACCTATCACAATGCTTTCTCTTACTTAATGTAATGTAAAAATGAATACTTCAATATTTATGGTTAATAAATTGTATATTTACTTTTTGTTTAAAATTATTTATTTTCATTTCGGTCATCACTAGAGGAGAAAAAAATTGAGGAAGAATGGAGTACTGTGGAGACAGTCTGGATAACTATAATGAACTTTTTTTTTTCTTTAATCCCTTGCTTGCCATTATTGGCATACATTGTGGGGGAGGAAAGGATTACAACAAAGTGTATTCTAATCATAGCCTGGATTTTATTTTATTTTTTTAAATTAACTCTACAAACTTTTAGTTTATTTGGCCACTTGGAACATATACACCTAGTTTAAGGATGGACTCCCGGCTCATGGCAGAAAATTTATTTATCTGTTTCATTGGCCGTGGGGGCGACCTTGGGTCAGGAGTCCCTCCTGGGGCACACCCAGCCTCTATAAAGTGGGTACCCTTAATTAAGTAATTGGTTAAGGGGAAAAACCTGGCGGTTGAGTGTGATCTCGGTCAAATCACCTCCTTGCACAACCGTTGACCTAGAAACAGTGCTTTCCCTAAATAGTACTGAACCCCAGACCCTTCATGGGTTGTAGTGGTACAGGTTTTTTTTTTTTTTTTTAAGGATGGACTAATAAACGTCTTAAAATATTTCAATAGTTGATTAATTAATTAATTATTAATAAATAGAACCAATATTTATCACAAAAATAAAAGATAATTATATTTAATGTAGCATTTGTATTTTCAAACACATCATATATATACATATATTACCATCTTAGTATAAAATAGAGTCATACTTTATATTTAAAAAATTTGCCATCTGTTTGAATTATAATAAAAAAAAAAAAATTAATTCCTTTTCATTATTTCATTAGTATTTTGTTCTAATAAACAAAAATTTTAAAATTATACATCAAAAATAAATTTATATAATAAAATTCAAAAAATCAATAAATCAAGAACATTTATGAAGAGAGGAATAATTGGGGTGGTCAGTCAAAAAAGAAGGCAAAAATAAATGATAATATTTATTTTTACATATGCCGACATTTTGACCTGAAGTTCAGGCCTTCATCAGGGCTAAGAAAATAACCAGATAATAAGGACTTGGTTCCATGGTTCCACGACAGTCAACCATTTACCAATCAAGAACATTTATTTTTATTTTTGATCAAAGTTTATTTATTTTTTGTATATTGTTCGGGAGATCTTTTATTTAATTTAATTGTTCTTTAAAATTTTTATTTATTTTTGGAATGAATATTTGTCCTATTTATTAATTATTAAAATAATTTAATATCCCTTATAGAAAATGAGTAATTTAATAATTGGTTAAAATTGTATTCATATATTTTTTTACAGGGTTGAGAGCTGGTCATCTAGACTCGGAGTTGAGTTATGGAATTTTGGAAAAGTTGTTACAAGAAAGCAGGAAATGCAAGATGTAAGTTCTACAGGATTTTAACTATAACAGCAATGGAAGTTTTGATGACTGTTATAGAAACTATAGCCATTATTTGATCTGAGTGTTTAGTTTTTATAAATAAGTTTATAACAAATGATTAATATATTCAATATGAAAATGTTGAAATATTGGCACCTATTCAAACAGGATGTCATTATTTTTCATATTACAGCTCTTCTAACATTGCCTTTTCCTACAAGGCCATTTCTATATTTTATAAACAATTGCATGTTTTATGTAATTCAGTCAAGAATTGTGTTTTATTAATCTATTGCACAAAGGATAAATGTGGTATTAGTAGGGATAGTACCAAAATCAGAAAAATAAAATTTGAAGTAACATACTAGCATTTAAGAGGTCATTGTTGTCTTTATATGTTGTTTTATTTACTTTTTCTTCCAACTATTTGCCACTTACTGTGTATTATTTATCTGTTTCAATAAAAAAATAATTTTAATTGATTATAGTAATTTTCTTTTTGTTCTTAAATAACATTACTTAATTTTATTTCAAACTTTGTCTAGAGTTTTAAAGATGCCAAAGTCACTTCTAGAGAAGGGCAAGAGCTTGTGTTTGAGATAGCAAAAGAAATAAAAAACATGATGGAATTAAAAATAAGTGCAGTGAGGGTATGTATTTTATTATTTTAATAAGTTAACAAAATCTTTGTTGATGAAATAAAATAAGAAAATTTCTATTGCATAATTTTTAATTGATATGTTATGGTTGCCATGGTGTCCATTTAAACAATCGTTCACAATAACTTGTCTCTTCTCAATAATTTACACTTTATTAACTTGCTCGAACTTTCACATATGTCTACATGTATGGTTATGTTGCCCAAGTATAGTTTTTTTTCTGCTTTTATAATTTTTCAATTATGAATAATTCAAAAATAATACTCCAACCCCATAAGCTTCAAGATTAAAAAAAAAAAAATATATTGTTTCTTTAATACCTATCAGTTTAGCTATAAATTTTGATGAATTATTAAAATTTTAAATTTTAATGTCCTTATAGATGAGTAAGAGCCAAGTGGCATAAAACCAGACATCCACCAGACAAAATTCTTTACAGTAAATTGACAAACAAACTTAAAATAGAAATCAGAAAACACAAAATTTTCAAAACTTTACAGAAAACCTAACTACCAATGACATATCATTATGGATAGCCACCAAAAAGCTTCTCAATTTCAAAACCTTCAACCATCCTCTCCTCACTGAATCTCAGACCTGGTCAAGATCCGATGAAGAAAAGACTCAATATATTAGGTGAACACCTTTTCAAAACTTTTAACCCTCATGCTGATATCCTCAATTCTACCCATCTTGAACATGTTAAAGCAGAACTTAATATCTCTCTCCAAATATTGCTTCCTCCTAAAGCATTCCATCCTTCAGAAATAATTAACATGACTCAGAAATTACCATCCAAAAAATCTCTAGGTCAGGATCCCATCACCTCTCGAAACCTAATGCAACTTCCTTGAAAAGTTGTCCTACTTCTCACATATATATTAGGTTGGCAAATAAATCCTTTAGATTTTTCTGTTTATTTTTATTTCACTGTGATACACTTCTTATCTGATGAATTAACCCTTAAGATGGATTGTTTATACTGTTTGTAATATGTCAACAACTATATCTTTTAACTCTTGTTGAAACTAGCTTAGTATTGAGTTTTCTTTTGCACTGTGAATATGGAACAAAATATCATTCATTATCGGCATGGTTTGTTGTATTATTTTAAAAAAGGTAAGTATGCTGTAGAAGCTAATAGAAAATTTTGAAGGGTTAATGGGGATGATGCCTTAAACGAATGCACCTGTCAAAATTGGTTTGCCAAATTTCATTGAGAAAATCTTGACATCAATGATGCTCGACGGTCTGGTTGCCCACATGAAATTGAAACATGCAATGTTAAGGCCATTGTTGAAATCCCACCCAATCAGTGTGACAGATTGCTATGGCCCTAAATGTGTCACACACAAGCATAGAAAACCATTTGTACAAGTTCGGCTATGTTTCCAGGCCTAATGTTTGGGTCCCTCACTCTCTAACCGAAGTCAACATGGCAACACACATTTCTGTTTGTGATTCACTACAGAAACGCAACAAAACGACCCATTTTTTGAAAAGGTTGGTAACAGGAGATGGAAAATGGATATTTTACGATAATATAGTCCGTAGAAAATCTTAGGAACCTAGTAGTGAGGCTCCTAGAAGAATGTCAAAACCCAGATTACATCCAAAGAAGATAATGCTTCCCATATGGTGGGATTTCAAGGGTGTTATTTTCTATCAGTTCGTTCCTAAGAGGTATAAAATTCACTTTGTGGTAGATCCATTGAACAATTTTTTTTTTAACTCTAACTTGAATAGGTTGGTAAACAATGTTGATAGATAACTCAGCCACCCTTTCCTATTTGGAGTACATTATACCAAATTAGGTACTAAACTAAACTAATGACTATAGGACATTAGTGTAAGTCTAATAATAATATTTTAGAGAATATCAAATTATGTTTAAAGTATTTACTATTTTCTTTTTTACATTACATTTAGCGTATCATGGATACAGCTGAAAACTCTGCTATGGCTTCACAAATGCAAGAGCCTCGGTCAGATTATCAATACTACAATGCTAAAACTCTTGATAGAAATGACAGTAACCAATTAGAGTTAAAAGAAAACAGTCACTTCTTCAATATAAAAGTGAACACTAGTTACAGTGCTGTACACGTCCCAACAAATGTGTATGACAGATGTAAGTTAAGAGATTATTCAGTTGAATCATAAATGGAACACTAATATGCTTACTAAATAATTGTTTCTTAAATTGAATAAATATTAAATATTTCAGCTCCTGATGTTTTGCGAGGTATCAAATGGTCAGCAAACCTTGATGAAATATTCATCAGTAACTACAAGCAAGATCCCTCATTGTCATGGCAATATTTTGGAAGCTCCACTGGCTTTATGAGACAGTTTCCTGGTAAGTTCCTCTTTATATTATATGCAGACATTCATATCATTACAAAAGTTTTGGAAAGTTAGATTAGTATAATGAATTGTCTTTTTAGTTCATACTTTTATGTTTTAATTTCTATTATAAAATAAATAAATAACTGTATTCACTCTTTAATTTATTCTTGTTGATTTTTAGCCATGAAATGGGAACAAGAACCGTCTGGGCCTGTGGATTTATTTGACTGTAGGACTAGATCATGGTATATAGAAGCAGCTACTAGTCCTAAGGATATCCTTGTTCTTGTTGACAATTCTGGTTCTATGATGGGGCAAAGACGTGAAATTGCTCGACATGTTGTAAACAATATTTTAGACACATTGGGCAGCAATGACTTTGTCAATGTTCTTACATTCATAAAAAATGCTACTGGTGTTGTTCCTTGCTTTAGAGAAAGGCTTGTTCAGGTAAATTATGATGAGAAAACACTGATCTTAATAAAAACTAATTTGTAACTTCTTATTTATTTATACATTTAAGAGGATTCTATTCCTTATAAATAGGTAAATGAGAATAAGGTGGTTCACAAATATCTAAAAAAACTTGTATAGAGACTGGTGAAGAACATTACTTAACAATTTTTCCTTTAGATATCTCATCTCATCTCCATTTATCAATTTGTCTGTCAGAACTTAGTTACTTAAATCATTAAAATATGGACTTAAATTTAGGCACCTTTACTTTATGCATTACTTTTTTTTCAGTCATTGTATTACATATTTGATTTTATACTACTAGTAAGCTACTATTTAATAAGAATATTGTTTTAAATTTCCTTGACTATTTTATTTATCTTTCAATATTTAGTTAATTATTATAAAATTAACTTTATATTATACCCACCACATCTCCCTTTCTTTTTCTCATAGATTCTTTAAACATCATTGTGAAATGCAAATTGTATAGTTGTTTAACATTCACTTTGGCTACCTACCTAGTGAATGGAAATAATAGGATTGTGCTCCCAATATATTAACATTCATATCTGATTTCATACATTTTAACTAGTTTTGAAGAATATTCACCATTTATTGTACTCCATATTTTTTTCACATATTAACTAGGTATGAATCAGGAGATATCACTTTAGATTAAATCCAACCTTTTCGGTTAATTTTAAATGAAGTTTACTCATGGAATTGAAAAATATTTGCAATTTATGAATTTTGTTTTTTTTAACATTACCAATTATTTTCTATTGGAATTAATATACCCCTGATTACATTTCAGGCGAATCTTGCTAATATTCGAGAGCTTAAGATAGGAATGGAGAACCTTGCAGCCGCTGCTAACATAGCAAATTTTTCAGTAGCTTTAACCACAGCATTTCAGATTTTAGAGACAGTAAGTTAGTAGGTTTTGTTTTGTTTTTATAAATATTTAAACAAAATTTTCCGATATTTTTATAGGCACAACTTTAAATGTTTTACCTCTTGAGTATATTTTTTATGATGAATTTAAGAAAAATGTTGGTTAAAAATAAAAGAATGATTCATTGGATGTAATTTTGATTATTATATTTATCGGTCAAATACATTTTTTTTTTAAATATTAGTATCGAAATGAAAGGAGAGGAGCTGCTTGCAACCAGGCAATTATGTTAGTAACAGATGGTGTTCCATACAGCTTTGAAGAGATTTTTAGGCAGTGGAATTGGGAACGAGATCCTGAAACACCAGTTCGTGTATTCACATATCTTATTGGAAGGGAAGTGGCAGATGTGAGGGAAGTAAAGTGGATGGCTTGTGCAAACAAAGGTAATTCATTCTAATTTTCTCCCATTTTTGTTTTTAACAATATTCCTATATATATATATATATATATATATATATATATATATATATATATATATATATATATATATATATATATATATATATATATATATATATATATATAATCAAAATTCGTGTTTATATTTAATAATTTAATATAATGTAACAAACTTATTTATATATTTATCATTAATAGAATGAATATAAATTTAACGAGCAAGTTTTCATTCATTCTAATTAGCCAAAACTGATATTTTAAAATTAATCATTTTACTTTGGTGCTAATACAGATATACTATTAGTTATATAGCAATGTGACATTTTTTAATTGTATGAAAAGAGATAATAATAAAAAGGCTTAATGAACCCAAGGTTTGATGTCAATAAAATAAAATATATTTGTCTACTTACTCCATTGAACTTTATCAAAACCCAATTATGATTGGTGTATATGTGATCAAACATATAACGTAATCATCTAACTAATGTTTTTATCTTCACTTGGGACATCTAATATTCGATTCAGAACATATTATGTTCTTAAGGTTTTATGTATTTGAGTCCAAATTGTAAAGTTTTAATCTACAAAATTTGAAGTCCATTCAGGTTTATAATACAATGGTCTCTTATTTTCTAAGCATTTTATTTTATATTAGCATGTCTTATAAAATTAACTCATACCAAAAAAATTTAACATAAAGTTGGTGGAATATTGATGGTTGACTATGTTAATGAATTTTTGGGGAGTAGGTGCCAATGGATAGGTACCTATGTAATACAATTACCTACCTAATATTTTTTTTATCCTAGTTTTGCTTTCTTGTGTGTAAGGGTTAGATTACTACTATGTGAGGGTGGATTTCTACTGTAAACATTTGGAATGCCTTTTATAGTTCCTCCAAGAATAATACATCACCTTTGCAAAATTAAAAAAGTGTATACATTGACAAAATTATACATAACACCAACTATATGGTATCAAACAGAATAGAAAGAAATCATTAACCCTAAATTATTAATTAGGAAAAACTAAGCAATAAATTTTCGTAGGATCTGTACTTTATTTTGCTTCAATATTTGAATTTAAGTGCTATAAAAATGTCAATAAAACTAAATGCTTTAGAATGAAGACATCAACATTTTAAAAACTATTTTCTAACATTGTAGTTATTTATGTTCAACATAAAGCATTTCTTGATTGTACTAGATTTTCTTTACTTTTAAAAAATTGATACATATTACTTTTTTAACAGTGATTTTAAACATATAGGGTATTATGTTCATTTAAGCACCATGGCAGAAGTACGTGAAGAAGTTTTACATTATATTTCAGTGATGGCAAGACCATTAGTCTTAAATAAAACTCATCATCCTGTTATATGGACACCAGTTTATGCAGATATTACGGTATGATTTAAAGAATATATTTCCTTAAGATTACATGCTAACACATATCTATTGTTTATATAATTGCCTGGTAACTTTGCAGGACCCCAAAATGACTGACTGGTTGTGGGAAATGAAGGAAAAAGAAAAACAAAAACAAATCTCTCTTCAGTTTAGAAAAAAGACACAAAATACATCTGAAGAACAAAAAAGAGCTGAAAAAGCTGAAAATGCAGAGCGTGAATATTTGGTAAATACCTATAATCCATGGGTATAATATTATCATACATATTATATTACTTCTTTTTTGTTAACCTTGGACTAAATATATGTCTAATGGATTTAATTTATAATCCAAAGAATGGTATTAAATTCATTAAACATTTTATTATTCATTCTCTCTACTTACACAGATACATACATATATGTGATGTACTTACAATAAGTATATGGTACATCATGTCTTAAAAATTTTGTTTATTGTTTTTTATTAAATCTTCCAAATTTTCAAGGACATTTATAATTAATACAATTTATAATTTCGAGGAAATAACTTTATTTAACTCTTACACCTCCTCTCCATGCTTCAATTCATATTTATTTTTTTCGACGATGTTTCAGACAATTTTGCCCATTTTAAAGTAGAAATATTTATATCATTATCTTATCATCTACATAATATTATTTTTTATATAGTTATTGTAACATTCTGTTTTTCTACTCCTCATATTCTTCTAATATTAATTTCATAACTTATTTATGAAAAGTCAATTCTTTGGACCGTCAAAAAATTAAACATTTTTTTTTTTAATTTACATCAAATGTTACACATTTTCGTCCTTTTTATAAAATAGCCTTATGTCCACTGTACTGTCTGTTTTATCATAAAGAAAGGCTCCATGTATGAGTGTAATAATTACAGAGGCATAGCACTCCTTCCAGTTGCCTACAAGACAATGACCAATTTCGTAATAAACCGGACATATCTGTATTACAAAAAAATAATAGGCGACCATCAGGCTGGATTCAGAAAAGGGAGAAACATGCTAGACTAGATCTTCATCCTAAAACAAGTATTCCAAAAACGATGGGTAGTAGCTCAGGATGTCCATGCTCTATTTGTCGATTTCAAAGCATGGTATTATATTGTTTAAAGGATTGGCATTTGGTATTATTCAGTAAGGAAATTTTTCACGATATCTTCGTACAGCAGCAGCACTGTTTCTATGTACCTCGCCATAAGTTAAAAGCATGTCTGTTCTGCAGAAGTGAATAAATTTATTGTGTCTCTCTTGATAATCATAAATTAAACTGTGCCACAGTATTCACTCACAATACAACACACAGAACTAGACAAACAGATGAGCAACTACTGCCATTGCTTATCGTTCATTTGTTTATCAGATGATTAAAATCTGTTATTTAGTATTAAACACGTTAAACTATGTACAGTCAGTCTTAATGTAGTAAATAAATAATCTTTAACCTTTGATATCTGTTTAATAAATGAGTTTGAGATATATGTTAATATGAAATTTTTAGTTTATTTTGTGTTAGTGAACACATACCTAAAATAGTGCCGTGCAATTATGAAACACCCTATATATATATATATATATATATATATATATATATATATATATATATATATATATATATATACATACATACATATATTGATTTATTTATTTGACACAAAACAGCCCTGAAGGACTACATGACTATGATACTGGTTTCTTTTTAAATTTCTTCCTTTCTGCCCATCTCTGCTTGAGGATATCGCTAAATTTTTTCTTCCTCTCCTTCGTCCACTTCCTCCTGGGCGGAAGTTCCTTACTGTCCACCACATGCACCGCTTTTTTCAGGAATTTCTTGTATTCTGTCCTATCCTCACATAGTTCCTGTGTTATCCCAAGCCTCTGTATTTCCTGTTTTATTTGTACCATATATCCATGGTTAAACTTGTATACCATAACCCTAATGAAAATCTTCTTGTTTAACCTCTCCTCAGTCATCCTTTGCATGTGTCCATAAAACCTAAGTCTTCTTACCCTCATTTCCGTTTCCAAATCAGAGGTTTCACTGTAAATCTCCTTATTGGATTTCAGTCTGTATCCTTCTGGTGTCATTTTGGGCCCATAGATTCTTCTAAGAATCCTTCTTTCTATTTTCAGCAATTTCTCCAAACTAGGAAAGAACATTGTCTCCGTTCCATACAGTATCACTGGCTTTAGCACTGTATTGTAGTGCCTGATTTTGGACTTTTTGGACAGGCATTTTTTATTATAAATGCTACTCATTAAGTAGCCTAATTTCTCCAAATTTTTTATCTTATACTGTATACTTTCTTTCTCTGATAAATTTCTGCTGATTATTTCACACAAGTATTTAAAGCTTTTAACCACCTTTATTTTACTGAATTTTGTTTTTATTTCTGTCTTTCTAAAGTTGGGGCTTGTGGTCATAAATTTAGTCTTCTGGAAGGAGATTTTAAGTCCAGTTTTCTCAGCTAATGTATCTGTCTAATCGCCTCTTCCTCCGACTCTGCCAATAGGGCCAAGTCATCCGCAAAGGCTATACATTTTACCAGGGTATTGCTCCTTTGATTTCCTACTTTAGCTCCTGATGTTTCTTTTTCCCATAAGGTCCTCATAACTATAAATATATATATATATATATATTATATTTTGAAATTATTTTAAAATATTTAAATTAAAAATTTAGTAGGAATAGGAGAATCGAGATTTGTTTTTAATATTAGGATAAATTCGAATTATAATATATTTTTTATCACAAGGGTATCTATCATTGACAAGTGAGGATGTATTTAAAAAAATACTCGCTCTTTCAAATTAATTGTTTATTTTTCATAGTTTTAATTTTAATTTTTTTTTTCATCATCATAGATTTTAATGAAAATGTTTGATTATTGATTAATTCATTCAAAACTACTTCAGCTTCAGCAACACAATTAGCAGGTAGCGTGAGAGTGAACTCATGTGGCACTAAGTTGAAATTAACATTTTTTTCCTACCTTCATATATTACTTACAAAATATAAACAAATATAAGCATACATTACAAAATTAATATTGTTTTGTGAACGTAATTTTGTACCCAAACACTACCTTACAGTGATTTGTAAAGACAGAGATGTGATAAGAATTAAGTGGCTTAAGCTATGAGCCTCTCTTGTCCCACTTAAGGCCATGCTTTTGAATAGCGAGGACCTAAGAAGAAGGACTGGAGGAGGGTGCCCTCGCAGCCACATAAAATCTTTATATCCCATCATAAAAGGGTGAATTACTTTTGATAAACCATATAACCTACCAAATTCAATAAAAATACAGTCCACTGTCAAAATAATGCCGAATGTTGCTTAAGTTGAACTCATTAGAGTTATTTGACTTTACTTTTATTAAAGTAGAAAGTTGCCTAAATAACTATGTCATCTTATATATGTATATAATTTATAATATTTTGTTAGTAACATTGGAGGTTTGAAATGTTAGTTTCAACATAGTGGCTCTAGGATTTTTCCTCGGTATGTCACCTCATTGTAGTTGAGCTATAGATATAGTTTTTAATGTAACATAACAAATTACATGTTTTAAAAATATAAAATTTTATTCATTGCATTAAACCAGAAGATATGAGCCAAAGTAAGTACTAAGCTTAAAGTTGAATCTTTAATCTCTTCTGTATAGAGTAAACGAGACAGTTTATTGACACCCTTCAGTCAATATTTGTATTACAAATTCATAGAAAAATGGTTCAATCAAATTTAAATTCATTTTAAATGTTACTGACTTACTCTATTTTAAGCTGAGTATAAAGTTTCATACCAAAAATATCATTGGAAGTCATTTTTGTCAGAACTGAAAATAAATAGTGCTAAATTGGTTATTGCCACATAAATGGATGTGTAATTGAATACAGTTATTGACATCCCTTCATTCTTATTAATTTATTTGATGGAAAAGGAATTTTCCCAGCTTTATTTGAAACTGAAAATTTACATAAAATCTTATTTTTTCAATTAAAAATTAGGGTGTCAATAAATGCCTGGTTTATCCTAATTAAAATAATAAAAATTATTATGTTACACCTTTATTCATTAACTTATGGTAGATTGAAAACCACTAAACCACCACAGTTTTGTAGAACTATGTTGTTATTGTTTTATGTCTGTGTAATACATTTATACATTGCAGTGGAGAAAAAAATGAAGAGATTTAGAATAAATTGAAGATAAATATTTTTCTTATATTGATATTTCAATTTTTGCTTACAGATGTACACAAAATACAACCAAAATAGTAATTTGTATCCTTACAAGATGATGACTTCTGTATCTATGCCAGTTTATGACAGGAGAGACAACGCTGTAAGTTATTAAATTAACTGATACTATTTTAATGTTATATTTCATTATTCAATTAGTGGGACAATTTTTGAGATATTTCAAGTTTTTTTTTTCTTCTTTAATTTTTTTTCTTCAAAGAAAGCTGGAATCATTGAACTTACTAATTAAAATTTTTAATAATTTTATATCTAAAAAATTTTTAATTATGATTTTCGTTAACTTCTTATTTTTTAAAACTGTCAACAGAACCTAACAGAGCGTGTTCTCATTAATGAAGCATTTTGGGTTCTAAAAACCAGAGAAGTATATTATGATTCTAACATAATGTTGCCCGACCAAGTACATTTAGTTAGATTTGCAGTAGAATAGAGTAGTTCATGACTTTTTGTTTGACATTCTCTTGTATAAATGTTGCCTAAAACTTCATTTGATTCATAAAAAATATGGTTTTAATTGAATTTTATAGTGTGAATATTTATATAATAATAATCTAGTAAGCCAAGAGTACAGAATTATTGTTTTATCTGTGATAATATGTTAATTTTATGAAAGTTAACTGTAGAAATTATGTTTAAAGTAATAGTGATATCAATAATTGCATTTATATTTCATTAACATATTACATGAGTTTTAGAATATTTAGGTGTAAATTTTGTAGAAGAAAGATAGTTTAGCAGAAGATAGAGTATTGACTATAGTTGTAGAAAAATAAAGAGAAGTAGGAGAAAATTTCTTCTTGGCACCTATTGAGGCTAAATGTAGTAGACATATTTTTTTAGGAATTTTTTACTACATTTAATAAAAAATATAGTTATATTGTAAATATGTTTTAATTTATAATAAACATTACTAATATTAAGATTGCAGTGTTTGCATTGCATCAAGTAGGTACCACTGATGATATGAACAATTTGTTTAATCAGTATCAATGCCACTTTTATCATTTATTATTTTACCAATTTATGAATAAAATTAAATTCCATTTTAATTACTTGAAAAAAAATTATAATTTTCAAGTTTCACCAGTCCTAACTTGATGTTGAGTTGAATAATATAATTATTTGCCCTGATGTTTTATTAAAGAAAAATTTTTGTTAAATACAATATGTGATTGATCTTACTTACTTATTTGTTGTAGTTTTAAATAATTTATTTTTTCCCAACAGTTATTGATAACTTAATACAATAAAACAATTTTGTGACAATAAATAAATCTCCAGTTCTTGGTTTTCATAAACAATAAATTGTTTTAATATGAGTACAAACATTTGTATAATTATTGAAGTCATGAATATTTGAATTTTTGTTTTAACTGCAAGTACAGATGGACAGAGATTTCTCATCTGTTTTTATTTATATACACATATTTTTAATTGTAATTTATAATTTTGGAAACATTAGGAAAGTCACAATTAACTCCAGAATTAAAACAATAAGTCAAAGAGATGATTATTGGGTTAGGGTCAGAAATAAAACATACTATTATAAAAAATATGCCGTTAAATGTGTACCAACAATTTGTGGTAAGTTTTAGTCTTCATTATAAAAAAAAGAAAAGAAAAAAAAATATTCGGGAATAATAGAAATGAGATAGATAAATATATTGAAAATTTAACTCTCTCTCCATTCCTAAATTATCATTATTGTTATTCCTAAGGCCAGAGCCACACAAGGAGAATGGTGACAAGGCAAGTCACTTAATTAGTCACCTGAGAAAACAAAGTGAGCAGCCACACAGCCACCTGGTTCCCTTAGTGACATGTAATCAGGTAGTGGTGTGACCAGTCTCTGTGTTTTCTTATATTTGTTTACTTGGTTGACTCACCAAGTGATTCATTCCTCTTATCACTGTGCTAAGCCGTCTCTCCTAATGTGGCTCTGGTCTTAGGTATTGTTACTAGAGATCTCATCCTCCCTGCAGTACTTCAGCTGGTTTGTTGATTTTAATACATTTGATGTATAATTAATTTGTTATTATTATTTATTTTTATTAATTGATTTGATTACAACATTACATAATTTTTATCACTTTACATGTATATTTTTGCTATGTAATTTATTTTATGAGATAGATATTTTCATTTGTAATCAAAATTCAATTACCTCTTTGCTGCATTAGTTTCTTTTACTCCTGTTTATTTCTTATCTTTCCTTGCATTACAAAGAACAAAAATACAGCCCAACAGTAAATATTTTCTTGCCATTAAATCTCTATTTAAATTTTTTCTAAATAATTATTTGCTGTATAAGGTTGGATTAACCCCTCTGTTGAATATATTTTTTTATAAATAGTCCAATAACTAACTAGAAGATAAGAAGATTAATAACTTATCAAGAAATCTTTCTGGATCCAAATTTTATTTTCAATATCTTAAGTAAATTTTAGAATCTTTTATACAGCTTAACTTAACCCACATTTTTTAAAATGAAAATCAAACCTATACTCAATTAGTCCCAAAATTAGTGATATCTTTGAAAATTTCCGGATGTTTAAAAAATAATATTACTAATAAAAGAATTTGTTTTAATGACAGAGAGGTTATAAATTGATTTAACATATACATAAAATGTTTTGAGTCACTAATTTATGTGGGATAAATACTAACAATAAATTTCATATAATTAATTTGTTTATACTGAATTTTAAATGTAATCTTTAGTTACGTTTTTTTGTTTTTTTTCCAAGCCTCTTGACTTATTTGACTTCTACCATTAGTCTTCTAGCAGCTATAGTACTGTTCTAGGCGACAGCTGTGATCGTTTGGTTCTCTTATATAGATATCCATGGAACATATGGTTTGTAATAACCGGATGCAATGTCAAATCACTTCCTCTTCATCAGAATGGTTGGCAACCTTTAGCAGACATCGCCATCCTGTTGTTTTTTATGGAATAGGGTTAATGGCCTTGTGCCCAACCCCCAATATGGAGAACAGGAGCTATGTTGTCTGACACAAGAGTCGCTCATCTTCCTTTGAATCTCAGGGTGGGGATGTTATTGTCCCCATGTAGGAATTGAACCCATCCCATAGTGGTCACAGCAATCGAGTAGGGACTGCACCCATTTATTTTAATTTATTATTAATTATTTATATTTTTTATCTTATTTTTTTAAATCCTGTGAACAGGATTTAAACTTGTAACATAAAGTTTTTGTAGGCTTCTTAACTAGTATGACCACCTCAGCCACTGAATAAAAAAAAAAAGAAAAAAGAAAATGAGCTTACTATTTGATTTAAGAATTTATGTATATATATATATATATATATATATATATATATATATATATATAGGGGCTGGGGTAGCCGTACGGGCTAAGGCGCTTGCTATAGGTAATCAAAGTTAAGCAACGTCGAGCGTCATTAGTACTTGGATGGGTACTGCCCGTTTTGTGTGGCCGTCCACCAGGGAAAGCCATGCTGCCCAAGTCTCTTCCCCCCCCCGGTATGTGAGGCCTGTCAGCCTCACAATGACCGGGTGTAGGACTGATGACCCTACCCCGTGTACTTAAATCGAGAATCGGGATGTGGTTTACCAGGATGTTAGTAGTCCCCCTGAGGTTCGATCCATGGATGGTCTGTTTCGTGGAAAACTCCAAGCAGCCATAATTCATGGATCCAGACCAATTTGTCACTGTCTTTGAACCCGAGTGAGTCGGTGGGAAGGACACTGTCAGATTGGCCGCAAAGGGATCGGCTATGGAGCCAAGGGTGGCCTGCCACTGCACCATGGAGACCATGGTTCGTAGTAACGTGAGGATGGATGACTCCCTCCAGGCTATCTGAGCTCTCACAAGCAACACACGTCTGTAAGGAGACCACATCTCCAAAGATCAAGGCCAAAGATCTTCATGGTCTGAAGTGCCAACTGAAAAAAAATATATATATATATATATATGTTGGGCTGGGGTAGCCGTGCGGGCATTGGTAATATAATATTACAATGTTTTTATAATTCTACTTTTATATATTATAACTTAATAGTTAGTATGACAAAGATACTTATGGGACACCCTATATATAGATGTGTTGATTCTACTCAAAAGAAGCATAATAATAATATTTTAAAATGAAACTGAATACTTCTTTATGTAGAACCTACAGATATATCAAGAGATCAGATTGGTTAGCTTTGAATCTTAATCTTCACTCTCTCCATGTTTGAAATACAAGGCATAATCATGTTTTGAGAAAAACCATTCCTAATAAAAAGTGCAAAGATGATTATGGTGAATTAATTCTGACTAAATTTGCTCAGTTTAATGCTAGGAGAACAAACACTTACAGTTGTTTTATGACCACAATTAGATCAGCTTATTTCAGTTTTGTAATATTAATTATTAATTCTTTCATCATTGTATAGTTAATTTAATCCAGTTAAGAAAAGTTTATAAATATACTTTGTAAAATTCATCACTGACTTAATTTCAATTAATATATATGTTTATAATTTATATATATATATATATATATATATATATATATATATATATATATATATATATGTATGTATGTATGTATGTATGTATGTATGTATGTATGTGTGTGTGTGTGTGTGTATGTATGTGTGTGTTTGTGTGTGTGTGTGTGTGTGTGTGTGTGTGTGTGTGTGTGTGTGTTTACATATGAAGTTAATAACATTGACAAATGGAAATCTTATTTTTTATGTATTGATAGTTAGTGAAATAATATCAGCAAACATATTAAAATAAATAATGATAACTTTTTTTTTTTTATATAATGCAGGTGATGGTGACACATAAATTTTACTTTATTAGTAAACAACTTTCTATTGACGTTTAGGGTATTTTCTCCCCATTTTCAGAACATGGAAATTCTGTGATGTTTATAATCTATTAAGTAATACATTTAAATTGATTGTGATATCATATTTTTATATAATACAACACATTCAAACATTAATTACCTTAAAAATGAGGCACACTAAAACTCCTGTCATCATATATCCACATTAGTTTTGTTCAATATTAATAGTAAATTAGTTAATGATATATATTTACAAGAACAAAATATTAAATCAAATATTTATAAAAAACAATTATGAATTAGTTATTTTAGTAATAAATAATTTGAATACTTATCTGCAACCAACCTCGTAATTAATGGCCTATAACTAATTAAATTTCAATATCCCATAATTATATTATAGTATGTATTATTAGAACTGATAACTTAATTAAGAATCTGTCATTAGTCTCAGTATTTCAAATAATGTTAAATTTCTTTAGAATTTATTGTTATGATAGTTGTTATTTTTTTTAATTTTTACTGATAAAATTATGTTGTAAAGTTTTAAATCAGTCCCAGTTTTACCTTTTCACATCTTTTAGTGCTGATAAAAAAAAAAAAAAAGGAAAATGTGAATTAGCCATTGACTAGATAAAAGTAGAACATCCCCTACTGCTTATATATATGTCATTTATTATATATTCTCACTTTTTAATGATCATCTTTTACTGCTTTTAACGAATTGATATTGATTCAACTTCTTATCAGATAGTTTCATATTCGTTAAATTGATTTTATTTTTTTTTAGTTTATTGGGTTGTATTTAGATTTGTTGAATTAGAACTGGCTGCCAGATGCCATTTAGCTGAATAGGTCCTGTACCGATTGGCATAAAAACCAAAACAAAAAGCTTTTATAGTATTCATTTATTTTTATATTTATAAACTCGTACTTTTTGAATCTAAATTTTAAGTTACGATGTTCATAAAATAGTTGTTTTGTCTTTTCAAACATTGTTTTATAGGGAGATTAGTATATATGGTGATATTACTATGTTTGATTTATAACATGTGAATGATAACATATTCTAGAAGAGTTAAAAACTAAAAAAAAAAAAATTCATTTTGGTAAAGACACTGATAAATTAAAACTAAATGTGAAAAAATAGTATCATATCATTTTCTTAGTAGAAGAATGGCACAACTCTTTTTTTTTTTTAAACATAAATATTTAATCGTAAACATCTGGTTGATTATAGTAAGGTAAAAGTGAAAATTGTTAATATTTGAGTAGTGCAGGCTTTTTTCTAAAGACCTAATTCATAAATATATATTTATACATGTATACACAAATATAAGCCCAGAAAAATATCAATGTTTTAAAGTTAAGTTAAGTGAGTAATGCCACTCTTCTTTCAAATCAGTGATATGTTAGAGTAGTTCTGGGTTGTTTAAAGCATATCCTGGAAAATGACATAGCTATATAACATTATTCATTTAGTTTTTAAATATACAAATAATAAGATTATATATATATATATATATATATATATATATATATATATATATATATATATATATATATATTATATAACCTAATTATTTGTATATTCATAATTATATTTGGTTTTAAAAAATGATAGAAACAACTTCGAATTAATATCATCCTGAAGTATTATTTAAATTTATCTATTTAAAAATATGAATTTAATGGCTTATAAAATATTATTTATACATAAAGTTGAGGACTTTCTAATTGTAACAACTGTATGATTATTTTATTTAATACATGGTTTGTTAAAAGAATATAATCCTATAGTATTTTTTTTTAATATAAATATTTATTTTGCAGACAAAAGTTGCCAATCTTTTGGGTGTTGTTGGAACTGATGTTCCTAATTCTGAAATCCAGCGACTTATGATTCAGCATATGGTATGTTAATCACAAAAATTATTTATATTTCATAAAATCAAAATAGTACTAAGATTGGTTAAACTGGTAAATTCAGTTTTTTAATATTTAAATGAACTGTATTAATCAGTGGTTAATTGTGTTATTAATTTCCTCTCAAACAATCCAAATATTTTACAGAGCTGGGATAATTGTAGGTTTGATTTTTCATATAATCATTCATAATCACTTAAGTGTTTCAGGAGGTGCTGAAAGAACTTTTTTCAAATTGATTTATTGGAGTATACATATCAATTGAGTTTTTAAAATTGAAAAACATTTTAATGGCCCCTAGTATCATTTGATTAAAATTATAATAGATTAATGCTTATTCATTATTAATTTCTGGATTACTTGTTACTAATCTATTACTATTGAAATCTGATGGCTAGTTGTGATTGACACTGAAATTTATTTTCTAAATATATGAAATAAATCAAATTAACACATGTTTCAATTTTCTCCATAGTTGATTAATCCATTCTTGAAATTATGATTTGATTTTAATTATTATAAATAACTGATAAAAAGCACTTTGTTATAATTCTTAACATCTGATAAACTTGGAATCCATCTTTCCAATCTAGAAATAGATATTGATAAATAGTCATTTTAAAAATATTTAATATACAGGGTGTTTCAGAGTTAAGTGGCCAAACTGAAAATACGAATTAAGGACTTCAAAACAAGAAAAAAATTCCTATGAAAGTATGTCCGCAAAGGCTTTGTTTAGGAGATATTCACACCTAAAGATTTTCATTGTTATGAATTATTTACATTATATATAGTAAATGCAACTTATTTGTTTGTTCCAACTACTTTATTAATTAAATGTAAACATTATATTCATATTAAATGTTGTTCAAAGTGATTTCCTTGAGCATTAAGACAGGCTTGGCATCTTCCTTCAACAGCAGCAGTGGCAGAACGGCACTGGATATGTGTTATTGTTTCAGAATACTCGATTATCCTTCTTCCTAAGGAATTATGGTCATTGATTGGACTTGCATAGACTTTTTAGTTAATGTCACCTCAAACAAAACTCCAGTGGTGTCATGTCTGGAGAGCGTGCAGGTCAAGCCCACTGATCCTGCACGGCCAATCCATTGATTGGGATAATTAACATTTAATTTACATAAATAACATTAATATTTACATTTATTAGAATAAAGTAATTAGAACAAATAAATAGGTTTTATTTATTTCATATAACGTAAATAATTCGTAACAACGAAAATCTTTAGGTGTGAATATCTCCTAAACAAAGCGTTTGTGGACATACCTTCATAGGAAATTTTTTCTTGTTTTGAGGTCCTTAGTTCATTTTTGCAGTTTGGCCACTTAACCCTGAAACACCCTGTATAATCATAAAACATTAAAAATATGAATTGATATTATTATTATTTAATTTTTTTTTTGTGTTTGTTTTTTAGCTTGGGGTAAATGCATATGCTTTCATTGTAACAAATAATGGATACATTCTTATTCATCCTGACCTCCGACCAGTTGTAAGTTTTAAATAAATGATTATAGTATTTAAATCATTCTAAAAAATAGTTTCTTGACATATGTACTTTTTACCAGTGTTTGAAATTGATTATTATTTTTCCTCAAAATCCAGTAAAAATTATTATATTTGATTTTTAATTTAAAAATCATACCTGATTTATAAATTAAAATCGATCTTTGATGTTTATTGATTCGATTAAAAATAATGATCACTCACTGAGTGATACAGTTTCACATAAATAATAATGCTTAAAATATGATCAAAACAATTTTTATCAGAAAAGAAAATAATTTTTTACACACGAATTAAATTAAATACTAATATGTACATACATAAGTAGTGCGGCATCCCATCACTGAGACTGGACCATAAGTCTCAGCCAGTTTGTTCGTTTATTTACTACAGCTCTCCAGTTTCGGACTTCAAGAAAGGCCCGCGTGTCTGCAGAGACCGAATCCATCCATTGCAAGTTTGGTCATCCATCTCGCCACTTCCTGTAGAGCTCTTCAGTAAGGATCATTTTTGGAATCTCGTTGGCAGCCATCCTTTGCACATGTCCTGCCCATCCAGAGCTTCACGAACTTGACTATGTCAACATTGTTGTAGTCTCATTAGTTCGGTTCCTCTGATCTGTATGTATTTTGTCTTGGCCTCATTAACAACTAGACCAAGATCCCTAGAAACATCTTCCAGAGCCAAGAATGATTCTCATTGGGCCCGTTTCGATCTGGCAGCAATATCAAAATCATCTGCATACCCCAAAAGCTGGACTACGCTGGTAAACAGTGTTCATCGGAGTTAGATTCCAAAGTTCCTTACCGCTTTCTCCTCAGCAAAAACTGCACAATTTGTGAGAATTTAGCGTCAGTAGTAACTATTCCTCTTTACAAGTAAAGTATTTACTCTTTTGAGAGATTACATGTCAAAAAACTATGACAACAAGCATTCTGACAATTAAAACAAACAGGAAATAACAGGTGAAGGTTAATAATGCTTCACTTCAATGCTGCTAAGTGACCCTTGAACTGAGATCTATAGATTGATGGTTAACTATAATTATACAACTCGCTGATGATATGAACGTGGTTCAAATTTGAACCAAGGTCAGTTGAACATCATTTTTAATTCCAATCATACAGCTGGCCCTCGCGATTGCGAAATAATAATAATTTTTGACATACATATGTAATTATAATGAGCTGTTTAAAAATGTAAACTTTTATTTTTAGTTTGATGGCATCCTGAAGCCTAGCTATAATAACATTGACTTTATGGATGTTGAACTGATACATTCTAATGAAACGGTGCCAGATGAAAGAGAAGATATTCCTGCCAAATGCAGAGAAGATAACCAAGCTATATTAGAGGTAAACTGTTTTTGTTTTGTATGTCCATAGGGGCTCACAATATGACCAAATTTAATAATGGTTTTCTTCTTTGTTTCTAGTTGAGGGAAAAATTGATTAATCAAGGAAATGGAAGTACTTCTCTATTTGTAAAATACCATTATGATAGCATGGTGAGTTTATGATTTGTTTTTCTTTACATATCGATAAAATTCATATTGTTTTTCTTAGAACCTTTCTCAAAATCAAAAATGACACTGGTTTGTCAAGTTAACTGCTAAGTATTGATTATTTCATTGTTAATTTTACTTCCCTTCCCTCCTCAAACACATCTTCACAATATGGACTTTGTATTAACCGCTTGCTGTTTAATTATAAGAATATTGTGAATCTTCCTGTGTTGTTCCTGCTTTTGCTGTTATATGGAAGTATCTTTGATTTTATATAAAATACTTCATAATAATACTGAATAGTAATTTTTAAAATTTAATAGTTAAATTTACTGTTTCATTGACAAAAATTTGAATTTTGATTTACTATGTATTGACTTTTAATTTTTTTTATTTTAGAGACGAGTTTCCATAGGCAAACGGCACTATTACTACACTTTTATAAATGGAACACCATTTGAATTGGTTGTTGCTCTTCCAGATCCATATGGTTTGAATAGGGTCGAAGCTATACTGGAAATTAAACGTGTTCATGTGAAAGGTAATCATAAATATGTATTTTTTATTATGGTACATTGACAATGTATGATAAATCTGTAGTTACATAAACATTAAACATTATATGACTCATACATGGATTAATAATTATTTGAAGCAATAGTTTTCTATAAATTTAGAATACTCTACAATAATATTAACATAACTTTAATAGTTAGTACTATTAATTAATTATGTGTAAAATTGGTAGGCATATTGGTCGGCATAAATTTGTAATGGGAGTTGTTCATATAGAAAAAAAATTGATATCAAATAGAAGTGTTGATTAAAATCATATGATATTGAAATATATATGAGAGCGCACACTCCAATATATTTTAAAGATTTATACTTTTGAAATTGAAAGAGATCCCCGAGGTCCCCAAAATGTTAAGATTTTTATTTTTTGAAATTGTCTATTTTTAAAATTTACATATTTTGTAATATTTAAAATTAAAATTTTAGTATCATTTTTTAGTTTTTTAGGTTGACAAATATATATTTTAAAAAATCTGGTGTGATGCATTATACAACTTTCACTTACTACCCTATTTTCAGTATAAATTTTTTAATAAAGTTTTTAAAAAGGTTAATAATAAATAGAAGTTACCTTAATTACATTTCTTTAATTATTGATAAAAACTTAAGAAAATCAATATAAATTAGGATAATTATATCTAATATATATTTTTGGTTTATCAAGCTCAGAAATTTTTTTTTTCCATTCATAGAATTTCCATATAGTTTCTATGAAAAGAATTATTTTCATAAAATAATATAAAAGTAAGAAATAAAGATAGATAAGTAATTTGGATATTTATTCTCCTAAGAATGATGGAAATTTACAGTATTAGTTTCATTTATATGGCACTAAATGATAGTGAAGAAATTACTAAATTATAGAAATATGAAATAATAAAATTAAAATCAAATCTGCTGATCTCTAGCTCTACTCGGTTATTTCCAGTTATTGACCCTTCCAACTCCTCCTGTCTTCAGCTCCATCCCTGAACTGGTGCTCTGCTACCTCAGGATATTTATTAATTTCATGGATTAGATCTAATGTGTTCTGTTGAAAGAAGGGACCGTGTGGGGACTGTCCTTTGTGTATAATTTCCTCAAGAACTCCCCATATGTCACTCAGTGAATTCCCTGGTGCCAAATGTGGATCAATCTACTTTACATGGCCCCTTGAACCTTCCCATAGTCATGAGTTATTAATTATCGACTCATCGTTGTTTAAAATAATACAATCAAAATATTATGACAAATAATAAACCTAAATATGCTAACTATTAGTAAAGTAATGATAAAATATTCTCAATTTTTTTTTTTACATCATTTAGTTTTTAAGAATAAAATAATAGAAGTCCTTATTCATAGGAAAATAAGAATTATATTTATAATCCTATTGTGTATAATATTTTTTAATGTTCCCTTTGTTGTCCTTCAAATTTAAATAATTTAATATATTACAGGGAAGAGAGTAACTGAATATTTCGGAGGTCATAATTGGAAAATACACCCTGAATGGTAATTAATTTTATTTTTATTATGCCAAAATGTTATTTATTATATACTATTTAAAATTTATCTTTTTTTCTAAATAGATACTACTATAAACAAATATTTTTAACATTTTAATTTTATTTTAACTGATGGAATAATAGAGTGCTTGGATGAAAAATGGGAGTAAAACATGTGCATGTAAAGATAGTATTTTTAACTTTTTACTGGCTGTATTTTTACTGGCTGACAACGGGGAAAAACATCATAATTTCTGAACATATAAAATGAAATATGAGCTATAAAACTAATAGATCATAAACTGGAAGTCAACTATCTCCTTCTTTGTCCTTCTGTGGCACTAAAACTCTTGGAGAAGGCCTCCTGTGATTCGGTCCACCAGTTAGTTTTATTGGCTGTCACTCACCTCCAGTTATGAGCATCCAAGATGAATCTTGCATCATTAAACACATTATGATTAATGTGGTAAATTAAAAAAATGTATCGAACAAATTTAAATGTATTTAATTGTTGTATTAAACATTTGTTTGTAGATTATAGTATGTAATTTATATTTATGAGCCTAATGAACTACTTCTTGATTATAATTCACCCATACACAAATATTTTAATCATTCATTGAATAAAATAAGACTATATTACAGGTTTTATTGTAAATATCATTACGGTGATGTTTATAATTTTAAAACACCTGAGGAAGAAATTATACACTTTTTGAATCGCACTGAAAAACCAGGCTGGAAATGGCCCCTTCAAAGAAGTAGTCCTCCACCAGAACATCGACATTGCCATTTGTGTAAGCTATTTTAAAGAAGTAAATTTTTATTCAGATAATTATTAAATATAGTTATTTATAATTAGATCTAGTAGTTAAATAATTATGCTCTATTTTTTTTATTAGGTAATTCAAGTAAAGATGATACCATGGATAAATATACTTATTACTGTAAGTACTACATTAATTTATATATTTAGAAAAATAAATAGAAAAATCATCTTTGTTCTGGGAAAAAGTTCCTTAACAATAACAATATTATTCATAAAAATTAACAATAAATTTGGTTAAAAAACCTATTAACATAAAGAATGACTGTAACATAAGTAATAGGACAAGTATATGCATAGCTCTGAAGATGTATTAACGAAATCAGGTGAACAATAAGGTTACAATACAGTAATATAGCTGATTAAAAAAAAAAAAAAGTTAAATTGGAAAGGATTGTTGAATTAATTTTACAGGCACACAATTGTAGTGATAAAAAAAACAAAAAAAAAGCTAACTAAAGTAAAAAATGATTTACATATGTTCCTTAAGATTTTTAAATGAATATTGATAATGGTATTGTAAAAAAATTGAAAATTATTATAATCTACATATGAAGATGTTGATTGAGAGGAGTAAAAAAAAAAAACATAAATATATATGTATATGTATGTGTATATATATATATATATATATATATACACACACATACATATATATATATATATATATATATATATATATATATATATATATATATATATATATATATATATATATATATATATATATATATATATGGTGACCTGTAAGCAGAGGAAAATTTTGTTAGGAGTGAGAGCTGACCTCAAGACCTACAAAAAAGTTCATATAAACAATGGGCCAATTTTCATCAGAAAAATAGGAAATCAAGTTTTGTGTTTTGATAAGTGAGTCATGTTTTTTGTTGAATAGGAAGCGATAACTAAAGAAATATTTAATTTAAGTAATTAACTATTACTTCACTGGACAAATTTATTTTAATTGGAAAGAAAGTTTGTCATTATTAAAACTATTTAAATAGGACATTTGAGTGACTAAACTACATGATTTGGAATGTATTCCAATAAAAATAATTGTGTAAATATATATTTTATTTCTAAAAATAATAAAATTTAAAATAACGATTTTTAAAATATTTTTCATGTAACGTGTTTATGAAATTGTGTTTTTCTTCCAAATCTCTGTCATAGGAGTTCTTCTGTATTTATAAGTGATAACCTTAATGTTTCCAGCCCTAATATTTGCATTTTCATGAAAATAATTGAACCATTCAATAGTTGTTTTGTTTTATTTTAACATCAATTTGAGTACTAGAAACGTTGTTTGTCACTGATAAAGTGGATCAATTCCTATGACAAAAATCTGGGGAAAAACACAATTACATAACCACTTTACATGAAAAATATTTAAAACATCGTTAGTTTAAATTTTATTTTTATAAATAAAATATATATTTAGGCAATTATTTTTATTAGAATACATCCCAGATCATGTAAAAACAAGAAATAAAAGCTTGTAGTCGTTTTTGCTTAAAACATGAGTACTTTTCGGAGACTGGATGGAAAATCACATTATTTCTTTACACAACTTGAGGTGAATTTCAAGTTTTTGTCTAATGAACCACAATTTAATTAATATGAACTTGAAGATTATTAAACGAAGTTTTTCTAAAAGTGGGGTATATTTATCAAAGGAGTTTATCCGTATTTATAAGTGACAAATTCCATGTTTCTAGTCCCAAGATTTATGTTTTTATGAAAATAATTGAAGTAATCAGCATGTTTTTTTGGTTTTAACCATATCAATGCTCAACTCCATATTATGGTACCGGAATATTATCCCAAAACAAAAAAAACAAAAAAAAAAATCCACAATAGTGTAGTACTAAGCATTATGACATATGGGTCAGAATCCTGGACCTTAAAAAGCAACCTCAGGAAGAAAATTCTAACCACAGAAATGGACAACTGGAGACTAGTGGCGGGATTATTCAGAATGGATAAAGTGAGAAATACGACCATCAGAGAAAAGATGGAGGCTATAAGAACCATTCTGGAAAAGATTGAGAAAAAATGCTTGAAGTGGTATGAACATTTGAAAAGAATGTCTGAAGGAAGTCTACCCAAAGAAATCCACTCAAGTGAAAACAAGGAAAAGAAGAAGACCTGGGATAAGGAAGTGGAGGAATCCATGATGGGTCATGGTCTACGGTAAGAATGGAACTTAGAATATTATGGAAAGAAGCCATCCAAGCACTGTAGGTTAAGGAAACCCACTATAAGTGAAAACAACTAATAAGAAAAAAATAATTATTAAAATAAATCTCAGATCATGAAAAAACAATAAATTAAAGCTTTGCAACAGTCAATTGTAGTCATATTTGCTGACAAACACTAGCACTATTAGAAGACTGGATAGAAGTTGACATAATTTCTTTACACAACTTGAGGTGAATTTCAAGAATTTGCTTTATAAACCTCAATTTAATTAATATGAACTTGAAGCTTATTAAATGATGTTTTTCTAAGAATTTGTAGTATAGTTGGATAATGATAAAAAAAAAAAAAAATCGCCAATAATTTGCTAACAGCAGTCCTATAGCTCATCTCGTAATTGTACGAATAGGTAATTTCACACCATTCTCTTCACTGTGAATTTTGAGGAAATCTCAACTGACTGTTAATTTTTTTAATAATAATTTTAAATTAAGAAAAAAAATGTAAAAATCAATGGAACTTGAACGAAATAAAATGAGTTATGCACTAGAGGTATGCTGACTGGTGGCTTTCTCTGGCCAGACCGAAATACAGGGTGTCCCGTAAGTTGAAGGAAATGTTTAAAAGTTTGATAGTAGATAACCAAATCTACAAAAAAGGTGATATAAACAATTACCCGATTTCCAGCAGAAAAATAGGAAATTTAAGATTTGTGTTTTTTTATACGAGTCACGTTTTTTGTTGAATAGGAAGCAATTACATAAAAAATATTTGATTTAAATAACTAAACATTGCTCCATTGTAAACTAGACAAAATTTGACTATTGGGCGGCTAAGCTAAGTTATGTTATGTTTTTAAAAAAATCTTAAATTATTCACCTTTTTTTTTATCATCATCCAACTATACTAGAGTTACCCTACATATACAAAAACTACCTCGTTTAATAAGATTTAAATTTATATTAATTAAATTGAGGTTTATTAGGAAAAAAAATTGAGATTCACCTCAAGTTGTATGAAGAAATAATTTGATTGTCTGTACAGTTACCTTAAAGTACCCGTGCTTTCTGTAAAAATGACTAAAATTTACTGTTACAAACTTTTTATTTCTTGTTTTTCCGTTATATGGGATGTTTTGTAATAAACTAATTACTAAAATTTACATTTAAAAAAAAGAAACCTACTGATTGCTTAAATTATTTTCATGAAAATGTAAATGTTAGAGATAGAAACATTAAGTTTGTAACTTATAAATACACATCAATTTCCATAACAGAAATCTGAGAGAAAAACACAATTTAATCATAACCACCATTAAATAACTATTTATTTTTTGCACAATAAAGAAATGTGTAATTATTTTTTTGGTAATAAATAATAATACGTTTAAATTTACTACTTTCAATACTTAATTGTAATTTATTACAATAAGAAATAAATTATAAATAATAATTCTAATATCGACTGTTTACTGTCTATTCCCTGATTTCCATACAGGTGACCGAACACTTCTTTTATCTCTGGTTTATGATGCCAAAGCCACTGAGTGGTTTTCTGGAAACATAAGCTTAGCTTCTGTTGAAGAAAAAGGGTATGTAGTAAAGCTTTATTTAAAAATTTAATTATGCAACTTTACTTAAGATTAAAATTATTAGTAAAACTAAGAACATAAGTTCACATCATGAATAGAAACAGTAATTGAGTGCTATTAATATTGCAAATTAATATTGTTGATATGATCGATTAAATTTACTAAAATTCTCTAGTAAAATTCTCTATTAATACTACTAATACTAAAATATAATTTTCTAAATAAATAAAATAGTAAAATGAAGTTCCCTAAAGTTTTCAACTGGTTAAATTTCCTATTATGCACAATATATATTAAGAGTAGGATTTATATATTTTTTTATTTGTTTTATTTTGATATGTTCTAGATTTTTTAGTTTAGTTTTTGATTAGCCCAAAAATTCTGGATGCACAAAATTGACTTACTAATATCAACCTAAAACTTTTGTGGAGAGATTCATAATATTAAGTCTTAATATTAATTCTAATATTAAGAATAAAATAGAGTTAAAATATACTAAACGGTATATATATATTAGTGCTTAGAACCCTAAAATTTTTAGAAATCTTAATTTTAAAAATACAGAAGGAATTTAAAAAAAATAAATTAATAAACAAACTTTAATTCTTCACAATAATAAAAAAAATAAAATAAAAAAAAAATTATCAAACTCAATCTCAGGCCTGATTCCTTATACATATTAAAATAGTATTGTATTAATATAAATTTCCACTATACACATTAAAAGTCACTTGAGTAAATAAAGATGGCACGATAATGAAATCTGCTATTTCATAGTAGTAGGCCATGCTCTTCAGGGTGTCCTTAGCCCAGTTCATCTGACCAAAATAAGTGATGTTTTCAGGCTTTCCCAACCTTAAAAACTCCTATCTATGCAGAATAATAAATAATAATGCAGATTTATCAGCAGAATAATAGCAGGTAATAGAGCCTACTGTGCAAATCTGGAACTTCACGGGCCTAGGTCATGCTGATCTTTAGCTTGAAAGAGTTAATTAGTTAAAAATTGTATTATTGATTGCATAATTACAAGTTTTTGTTTTTGTTTATGTGACTTACTTTTATAGTATATGATTTTCTAAGAAAATAAGATGGGCAGGATGGCTGCCTACCCTGAAGATGATATTTCTAAGCTCTAAAACAATATTTTAACTATAGTGTATTCTTGCTATTATAGAATTCTCTGACAAATTTTGTCTTGATATTAAGATAGCATGATTGCTTCATGTCTTGGTGCATTCTCCTTAGGCCTTATACTTAACTCATCAACTAGATCATATCTCATTTTTACAAATAAATATATGTAATTATGAAATGAACTAATGAGAGGGTTTTAGTTATGAATAGATTGCATAACTAAACTTGATATTGGATAAAAATAATATTTAAAATTTTACTATTTTGTGGAATTGTTTTTATTAAAGAGTATTCTTGGTGTTGCTATTTTTATAGCAAGAAAAAATATCTAAGGTTCAACTATTTAAGTATTTTATTTTTTATTATAAAAAGTTAAAATATATTTATGCTTTACATTACAAATATTTTACTGTATAAATAATTAGTATAACTCATTAATTAAAGCTCACATTATTAGATATTTCTTTAATTATTTGGTCATATAAATATAAAAGCATTATTAGTATTATCATAGAACATTTTATTCATGCATAGGTATGTGTCTTTATGCAGATATATACACATATATTTTGAAAAATATTAGTGGACTTAATATCATTTACATTTTACTTCAAGAATATTAAGATACTTCAAGAGTTATTAAGATACTGAATTCCCAAATGTGTCCAAATCCAAATCCAAACCATGACCATAGAGACAATGTATTATTTATTTCCTCAGCATAATCATCAACCTTCACATTATCCCAAGTGAATTCCATCACCAAAAATTTCAAGATTATACCACATCTGACTGAATCCTCCATATTTCTCTTTTTCTATAATAATAACATTAAAAACATTATATCACTCCCTATAAATCTATCGATTAGTCCAAAGAAATAAGAAAAATGCTATAACAAAATAAATCAATTTTAACTTCAGTAGAAACATTGACTGTAAAATGTCACATTTTTTTAACATAGCAGGAAATTATCACATTCAGTGAATGCCTTCAAAGATGACACAAAAAATTCAAAATTTATCCTCATCAATGTCCCTAATATCTTTGCTAATACTTCTTTAGATGTCTAGTAAAGTTATTAGGCATCTCAGAAATGTCACAAAAAACTTAAAATAATAGAGGTATACAATTTGATAAAAAAATATAATATGAATTACAAGATATTAGTAATATCCAACCTGCACATGTTATAAATGGATAAATCCTTTATTAGAATATTTCCCTTAAATAATGGAAAGGGCATATTTAGGTAATTAACAGTAAAATTGATGAAAGCAAGGGATCTTTTGTTCTGAATATCAAATGGTTTTTGTTGCAAAACCAAATGTTTCACCTCCTGCACTTGGTATAGCTGTTAGTAAATAAACTGGTTTTTATGTTTTGATGAATTATCTTCAGGTTTTTTTCATTACTGTTTTTTATTTGCTATTATTAATCAACAGTAATTCTATTGTGATTGATAGTATATTTACCTTGATTACTGCCTTAATTTAATGGTGTTATTCAAATAAATAACTTCTAAGAATATTGATGCTTTAAATGACATAATATGTTTTCTTGTTCATTCAGAAAAAGCATACTGTAGCCTGTCAAGCTAAAGAATACTCAATGGGGCATGGTTTCAGATTATTTATTCCCCCACTGAGAATTCACCTAATATGGAATATTTCTAAAATGAAAACAATAAATATAATGCTATTAGTAATCAATTTCCCATTTTCTTTCAAAATAATCATGTATTTCATTATTCAATATATATAATATATATTTTCAAATAGTATTTAATTGTAATTAATCAGAAAAATAGCACAAGTTATATTGTTGGTGTGAACAATTACCATTGATCCAGAGGTATTAGCCAAATAGGAAAAATGATGAGGCTTAGCGATCTTACTACTTTTTATCTCTTATCAATCTTTTTTCCTTTGATAGTCTATAGTAGTATTCTAAACAATACTGACGCATATGAATTTATATTTATTTCAATATTTAAGGAAATTTAATGTAGATAATTAATTATTGTATATTTTTAAAATGATTTTATTTTTATAATATATTTTGTTATTAAAACAAAATATCTAATTAATTTATTATTAATAATATTATCACTAAATTACATACTCAAAAGTGTTATTTTTTATGTGTTTGAGGATGTGAGTGTGCATGCAATTGCACTTATCTGTGTTTACAAATACTTTTTGATACTCGAATCTGTGTTGTAGCCTTCTAAAAAACAATCACCATTTAATTTGTCTGAGATGAGCATGCGCACACATCCACACGCTCACTCATACACACACATAATGCATTATACATATAAAAACCAGTGTGATTAAATTTCAAGCAGTAAAGTTTCACGGTTTGCTTTATATTAGTTCCAACTAAAACTTTTTATGGTTTTAAGATTATCGATGGAGATTTATTTTTGGGGGAGATTGGCTAGAGTTTCAAGGACTCAATGAATCAGAAACGAGACCATTAGAGAAAGGATGGAAGTTAAGAATAATGTACTAGAAATAATGGAAGAAAGACGATAACAGTGGTATGGGAATATGAAAAGGATGAATAGTAAATGACTTTCCAAAACAGCATTTGAGTGGGAGGCCGAGAGTAGGAGAAAGAGAGAGCCTCATGTGAGGTGGAGAGATGTTGTGGCTAAAAGTATGGCAGACTGAGGGATGACAGAAGAGGAAGCGATGGACAGGTAGAAGTGGAGGAACGTATTGAGGGTGGAGTTTTGCTGAGGAAAACTTCAATTTATGAAGAAAACCCCTTAAATAAATAAAATATATTATTAATTTTTATGACATTTTGATGCCATGGTGGTCAAGTGAGTTAAGGTACATGCACAAATTTTATGTTGTGATTAACTCCATTCACAGTATTTAATAATAAAAAAAAGATAAAAAATAAAAATAATTAATAATAAATTAAAATAGATAAGTTTGGGTGCTACTCGATTGCTTAAACCACTACAACATGGGTTCGATTCCCCATGGGAACGTTAACGTCTCCACCCAGAGATTCACAGGGAGGTGAGTGACCCCTGTGTCTTACCCTATAGCATCTGGTTCTCCAGGTTGGGGGTTGAGTATATGGCTAATAATCCTATCCCATAAAAAAAAAAAAAAAAACGGGTGGAGAACCAAATGAATAGAGCTGTCTCCTATAACAGCTCCAAAGCTGCTAGAAGACTCATGGTAGAAGCAAAAAAAGTCAAGAGGCAAAAGGAAAAAAAAAAAAAAATTTAAATGATGTAAAGCTACAAAAATCTATGAAGTGGCTTTATAGGTTGGAGCCATCCAGGATGGCTTGATAGGTGATTCTTATGCTAATAACAACTTATGCCATAGGGTGGGTGCTCTCCTTTCTTACAACTATTTTATCATTTTTCTACTAAAACCCAATAACATTTTTTTATTTTTCAAAACAATTTACAAACATTATTGATCTAGTTATCTTAAAAATAAACACTCTCAGAACATCAAAATTATTATTATTTTATATTCATTAAATGAGTTTTTGTCATCTAACTGCTTACTTAAGATATTAAGCGTCTTTAGTGAAGAACTTTAGACCTCTTAAACAATGATTAACTGTGAATGAGAATAAACCATGTCATACCCTAGGTGACAATATATAGGATCTAGACTAGATGGACTAGGAAATGAACAGGCATTGGGACAGACATCTGTGCCACTAGTTCTATTACAAAATCAAGGCATTAGTTGGGTTTATGATCTGATTTAATGAATTTGAAAAATTGTGAATGTTTGACCAATTGTGAGGTGGCAAACTCTATAACAATTCTATGAAAGCTAGAAACATATGGCCTGTTTATATGCCTTAGTCAACAACAA